GGGGGGAGCCGTTATCCCCCCAGCTTAGCCGTAAATTCAGTAAACAAGCGTAGGATTAGTCAATGTTCTTTATGCCTGGACTAAAGGGTAAAGAATAGGTATGCTTCTATTTGGCACAATATAATTTGAACTGATTCAATTTATCCATTCATTATAACTTTTTGACAAGGAGAAGGATGTTTTCTTATGTATTGAATATCACATTAAAAACTTCATTAGTATATTTAATTATTTAATAGCTATTAAAATCACATATTTATTTTGAATTGCCTATTAGTGACAGATAAGCAAATTTATTTTTGTTGTTGTGATAAAAGTATTGCTTTTATAAAATCTTAGTTCATAGTTCTAATATTACTCCCTGTGAGATCGATATATAGAACTCCATTAAAGCCTTATATTACTTGAGCAATACCTATACTTGCGTTGAGAAGTGTGACTTTACAATTATTGAATATTTATTACATCCATATTTATCAAATCTATAACTGTTATTAAGTTTTGGTACAGTTGCTGAGGAATTAATTCTCTTAGTAGCAGTATTAAATACTTATATTTTTAAGCATATATAAAGTCACGGTCAGTAGCAAGCACTTCCTCAATGAAACCCCAATGTATAGTGTCATGGGCTATTTTAATATCCAGCTTATAGATCACATTACCCCCTCTACACTATCTATCCAAGTAAAGTACTAAGACTTATGCTAGCAGCACATTGTCCACAATACTTCTACCTTGAATAAATGCTGATTGGTTATCACTGATGAGCTTAGAGAGATGAGGTTGAATTCTAGCTGCTATCACCTTACTAATGATTTTATACAAAACGTTAGTGAGGCTATTAGTTCTAAAGTGTTCCCATTTGAATTTATATTTATCTTTATATATCAGAGTGATGGTAGAGCAATTAAAATAAGTTGTGGGATCAGTACTCTTGAAGAAAATCTGGGTGGACTCAACTACATCTGACTTAATAATGTTCTAAGCCTTCTTGTAGAAATCAGTTGTGTAGCCATCTGGTCCAGTAACTTTGGAGCTATCAATTGAAGCTAAAGATATCTAAATCTCCTTCTCATCTGGAACAAAGGCCAGATCTAGTGTCTTTGTACAATCCAGATTTCCCCTAAAAAGCTCCTGTTGAATAGGAATTCTAGAAGTCTGAGGTTGAGTAAAGATTCCCTGAAAGTAATTAACAGCACTAAAAGCAATAGACTCAGCAGTATACAGCCACCTGCCACTAGATTCCTGAATTTTGTGAATAGTATTGCACATTCTGTTATAATTAATACAAGAATGGTATAACTTTGAGTTTATGTCTCTCTCACAGAATTTATTAATGGCAGCTTTCTGGGCATAAAACTTCTGCATGGCAATGGTATTCACCAACTTAGCATTAGCAACAAAAAGATCAATACTAACCTCGGGATGATCTTCCAGTAGTTCTTCCCACTATGCCACCTCTCTTTCAGCTTCCTGCACCTAACATCTATATTCCCAAAAGTCTTTCAATTCAACTGAGAAAGATGCTTACCCAGTTTCTTTTGAAGTTGCCAAAGTTTAACCCAAGGATTATGATGACCATAGTCCTTCCAGACTTGGGACACCTATCGAAGGAAATCACAATGTGAAGACCACATATTAAGATACCTATAAGAAGATTTATGCTTGGTTGGAGATGCTGAGATGGTGATGAGAAGGGGTCTATGGTCAGAACAGGTCATAGTGAGATGTTGAACCGAAATTTGAAGGAATTCCTTGAGCCAATTATCATTAACCAAAATTCTGTCAAGTCTTTCCCAAATATTGCCTCTTCTCTAGGTGAATTTTGGGCTAGAAAATCCCAAATAAAATAATCTAGATGAATGAATGTTTTCATTAAAGCTATTAATAAAGTTCTTATCAAGGGCCCTACCCCCAAGTTTTTCAGTAGGAGAAGAAAGGCAGTTAAAATCCCCTCCAACTAAACTGAAAGAGTTCAAAGATCTACTAAAATCATTGAGGTAAAACCACAACTTCTGTCTAACTAAAGAAGAGCTCCCAGCTTAGATCAAAGTGGTCTAACCACAACTACCCCAAAGAGTGATATTCATATGAAGGAACTCTGCATTGTCCTTTAAAATAGTGAAAACAACTTCCTTTCTACAGAGAATCCATATTTTATTATTAATATTAGAGAAGAAAGGAAACCCATGGAATTTATTTAGGATTCTATGTTGATGCTTGGAGACTATAGGCTCCAAAATGGAAATAGTCCAAAACTTGTACATCCTATTAAGAGCAAGGAGTTTGTTAAGGGATCTAGGATGAACCAACCCCCTAACATTCCAACACAAGAAATTCATCATCTAAAGGTAGTGGATTTCACCCTACTTCTAGCTCTAACCTAAG